GTTTCATATTTAACTTGTTTTATCATGATTACGTTGTTCGAAAAACAAATAATAAAGCATTTCTTGTGCTCACTTTATGTCATACGCATATAAGAGCCTTGTTGAATTTACTAACATCTTCGCCTTTGAGGAATGAATCTGTAAAAAGAATAATTAAAACACAAAAAAGAATTGCTAAAACAGATCTTACGAAATCTCAACTCATAGCTGGATTGCCTCCCGTATGGGACTCCAGTACCTTACTTATTATTATTGTTGTTGTTGGTATTATTATTATAACCTCTTCAGTTTTACTTGGAAGTGTGTATGTCTAATTCGAGTGAGATGACGTTTAGTGAGAAATTAAATAAGTCGGGTGTTATTTATTATTAGCAAAGGATCCTAATTTATGTCTTTTGTTAGCGGTTGTTTTGTATTTATATTTGGGTAGTTAGAGCAACGATCGTGGGTTTCTCTGCCATGCTCTTTCCCCACAGGAGCTCTAGGTGAGCCTGGCACTCTCATTTTATGTTAAATGGTTGTTAATGTTTTTGTTGTTCTTTCTATTTGTCACATGTTTAATTTGAAGACTGTTGTACGTAAATAATAAAGTTAGGTGTATTTACTCTGCTTTTGTTTTATAAAATTAAACCATACTTCCTCTCCTTAAAGTTAGTAGCCAGCGCCTTCCGGTCAATTAAAAATAGATGTATACAACGTAGGTATTCCTCATGACGATCACATATTCTTGGCCACAATTACGTTTATTTTTCTTTTTTCGATCGAACCCGGGGTTGTTATACTACAAGGTAATGTGTAGAAAATTTCTATTATATGTTAATTTGGCCAACAACATATTTTAATTATTTATGTCCTCAATTTTATTATATTGGTGGTAAATTTCGTTTTGTTCTGTTTCAAAAGGTCTCCAAAATGCCATGTTGTGATAATATTAGTAAAAAAGATATCCCTCTTATTTCTCCCTTTCGCAATTGTAATATGAATGATTGATGGAAGGTGCCTATAATAAATTAAAATTACCTGAATCACATCAAATTCCGCATTATTGCCCAGTAGCCCAATGCAACTGTGATCGTTTTCCTTTGCCCACGCTCGCATTCTTCAACTGAGCGTATACATTTCTATCACCTCCACGTTTAGTTCGACCAGACCTGTTTATGGGTACGGCTAAATAAATATGGGAACAAGTTTTTCAAATATTTCAATGCCGAGTTGCTACGTCAGCGACCGAACCTGGTACATACTATCAATCTGTTGGTTCTTCAATTGATATCTGAAGGACTATACTAGGTACTTGTAGTAAGAACATTTGTGTAATACGTTTCCAAAATTTGTTAAATGCTAAATAATTGTCTGCAATTTTATGAATTATTTTGTAGTGTAACATTCACTACCTGTATAGTGTGAATGTCACTATTTATTTTAACTATAACTCAACAATTGAACAGCTTCTTGAGATCTTGACATCATAATTCAACTTTGTTATCACTATTAGTTAGTTTTGTTTCCACCTGTATACTGCTGTATTGTTGTTATATCCTGTATATCTTTGTCATACCCTACAATTAGTTATAGAACACCAATGTAATAAACTATGTGCCACAAATGTTTACAATTTACCTGTTATAAACATGGAGAATCTTATTGTATGAATTGTAATAGTTCTGTAATTGTATAATTTTAACTGTAGCGTTTTTATTTGTATTATTTCCTTTTAATTTTGTTATTTGTAAACCGAACCTTGAGCACTACACACACTACTTAATTGGTTGTCATACATTGAAGGTTATTGTATTTGTTTCTATCACCATCGACCCAAAGACACAGAGTGGACTGAATAGTTTGTGGTAGGACATAGGCTATGGTCAGTGGTAGAATCCGTTCTTTGGTGGTTAAATAGCTGTTGCCCTGTCTGAAATGTAGTTCGTTCAACCGGCCAATCACATCGATTGAATTTAGTTTTTTTTTTAGAGTTGAATTAATAAAACGGTTGCCGGAGCGACTTAAAGCCTTTTTCATTTTTACTGCCGGTAAAAGCAACTGACTCGCGAATGATTTATAATAAAACTGATTAGTTTAACTTAGATCAATCACCAGTGAACGACAAAGAACATCAAACATAATTAATTCAATATTAAATTTCTAGTTTTCTCTTGAATTCGATCCAGTAGATTTTAGCCTAGTTAACCATTTGGATTTTGCTTGTGTTTTTTTTTGTATGACCTTCAAAGCTGTGCAACCACGCGCTAATTGAATTTTGTTTCTTCTATTTTCTCTCTAGTTTTTGAAAACTTATAAAAGTTTATTTAAGAGTTTGAAACGTTTTTTGAATAGTAGAAAAGTTTAGAATAGTTTTAAACGCTAGAAAGGTTTCTAGAGAAGTTCTTAGAAAAGTTTTAAAGTTTTGAAAGGCCTATAAGGTCCTTTAATTTTGAGAAAAGTCTCAAATTATTTAGTTCATTAAAGTTTGGGAATATTGATTAAAATTCGTTGTAACTAGTCTCTTAGATTGACGTAATGATAATTTATCGAAAATTCAGTAGCTAAGAATTACGATAGTCGCTGCTATTCTAAGTCCACAATCAACTAACTTTATGGTAAACCTGGAAGAGAATAGGTCACCCTTGAGCTCCAGATTTGAGTCTCCGATCCAGGACAGCAGGACATCTGTACACCCTGTATTCCGCCGAACATCCGGTAAAAGCCAGAGTGAGAAATATATCAGTGAAATCTTATTTGTGCTATTTTATTTTCCTTTCTCCAAATCCCGACCTACAGGGAGAGGAAACGTTAGGGGGTTGTTTTAGCTAGTTTTTTGTAGGTTGGCGCCCTTTTGACATCTTTTATCTTCCCCATAACGTTTTCCTCGAACTGGTAAATCTATATGCTGAGAATTAACATTAAAACCGACCCACTTCCCATTGCCTCCGTTATAAGAGCTGACGTTCGCACTTTCTAGTATGATCATTTAAAAATAAAATAATAATATCTCTACCCCTCATTCTAGTCGAAGGATTGGCCCAGAAGTCGGAGACTTGTGTGGGAGAGGAAGCGGTATATTATTATTCACCACCATTAAGTACAGGAATGAGGGAAATCTGGAAAACCTCATTAATTAGGGGGGTGATCAGCATCACTCTCACATTGACCCAAGACAACGTTCTTTCACCCTACCATACCCGCAGAGAGGGTGCCCAATTCCTCTCTACGAATATAGCTGATCTAAGGTCTTACAGCCGCGGGGATCGAACCCGCGACAGCGGCATTTATCATTTCAGGTACTGACGCCTCGAACCGCTCGACCACCGACCGAAAAGATACACATAGTCCTGTTAAATTAAATGCTAATAAAAATTTGAATATTTCATACATTTTATAGGATAATGACAAATTATTTAAATGGAAAAAATTTATACTCATGGCCTGAGTTGATATCACTACCAAGAACAATATCAGCGTTGGATTATTGTTCGTCTAATTTCGAATAGTAAAACAAAATCATACCTCGAAGGTACGACCAATTTATTTTTTATTATGTTAAATGAGAGACGGAAGTGAGAACAGTTCTCAGCTATACTCGTATATTATTCAATGGAAAGGGGGAGATACAAAGACGATAGTGCTTTATTAAATAATATGTACAGGTTCTTGTTAAGAATACTCCCGATTCTAAATTATTAAAACGATATTTAGGGCACGTATTGGAGAATACAATGTATTTAATTGTGGAGAATATTGGTTACGCAAGTTATATTCCATGACATAGGTACCTTCAGGATATTTCAGGAGATCATTTTAGATAGACCATAAGATCATAGATATCTTCAGAATGTTCGGGATATCATTTTAGACCAAAAAGCCGAATTGAAAGCCACTGGTTATGTACTGGAGGTGAAGGGGTAATAAGCTTTTCCCTGACATCTGAAATATTTTTTAGGGTACAGCAGCTACGACAGCGAATGTCAACTTGAATTAAACTTAGTCCCATTCTTTCTAAACAATTTGTTTTTTGATTGATGTCATTAATTCTGTTACTGATTGAGAAATAGATAAATTAAGGCACACCAATTCATTACAAAAATTTCAAAAGTTAGGTATAACAATGATAGTAAAAATAACTACAAAAATCAAAGTAAAGTCAATGACAAAAATTTCTAATTATGTCTTCACATTGTGGATTCATACGTTTTGGTCAATATTCCATATATTCCAATGTTCCATGTTTCTCTATTCAGTATCTTGATGAGAGGATATCTACTTCATGTAAGTATTTCTGTACTCAACAAATGACATGGATGTTTTAATGTTATTACCGTTATTTACAATAGACTGGTGCACTTTAATTGAAGTGTGTATCCCAATTAACAACAGTGATAATGAGATGAGTCAGAAAACAAATTATGTACAATAGGAACAACAACAGTTCAAGTAGACATTTGTTATAGTAACTGGTGCATAGTATATTGTGTTCCAATTTTTGAGGAAAAACTTATTCTCGAAGTGAAAAGGAATTATTAAAGACAGAAGCACACAGAGGTCTGACAAATTGCCTCACAAGACGCGATAATTCGATAATTTCTTCAAATTTCAGATTGGAGTTGTATAAACCAAGAACTGAAGTTGTCTGGAACAGTCTGTCGGCCAAAGTCTTTGACAATTCCCACCCGCATACTGAAGGAAAACTGGTGTTCAAGATTGCTTTTTGATACCACATTACAGGCCTCCACAGATCTTGCAGCTCTGGGCCTACCCCAAGCAAAAATTGCAGCTACGCCCATGGATATTTGTGAACAAAAATACAGTTATTTTAAAATATCGAAGGGTAATTTAATTTGCTTTTATAATTGTTGCTGCTATCATAGCTGTCGCTGATGTTGTTGTAAAAAATAGGTATTGTACTAGATAAACTTTTGATTTTTCTCTGCACTTCATGTTGAAAATGATATAAGATATTCAAGACATTCTTCGGAGGAGATTTTAACAAAACAAGAATTACTTACCAAAGAAAAAACGGCAACCAACATAATAAAAAAGCGCCCATTATAATACCCAGTGTTCTGGCTGCTTTATGTTCTGCTCTCCAACTTTTTGTTTGCTGCCGAATGGTTGTCCCTGAAACAAAACAATTGCTTTATTTATAAAATAGTCACATTCCTATTGTCTGCTAGAAAATATGAGGTAGCCTTCCTTTATTTTAAAAATAAATATATAATTCTGAAGGAACTGCACAATAGAACAAGTTTTAAGGATCTAACATATTCTTATTCGCGATTACATATTGTTCAGAATAAAAAATATATAATTATGGTTAAATATTTTGTATTCACCGTTTGTATTTATGAATACAAGTTATTCAAATTCTGTACCATGCTGTGCAATATTAAAATTATGCTAGCCGTGTTGACGGTTTTACCAGTGTCAGGTTCTGAAAGAGTGGATGATTCCTTTGCAAACATCTACAGTATTTAACTGCCGAAATACGAAATCACAAGCGGCATTTATCATTTCAGGTACTGACGCCTCGAACCGCTCGACCACAGACCGAAAAGATACACATAGTCGTGTTAAATTAAATGCTAATAAAAATTTGAATATTTCATACATTTTATAGGATGACATCAATAACTTAACATAAAAGAGACGTTTGAAATTTAATCATAGACTGGGCACTTTATTATTTCTTAAAGTTATTCTGAGGAAGTGGGTGGAAAATTAAGATATTTTATTTTTTAATAAAACGACATTTCTTTGTTAAAAAGAAGTTGCATAAATCTGTTTTGGGGAGAGAAGCATGTACTTGAATAAAAAGTATATTAATATACGTTTTGTGCGTCTTTTATTTATTCTACCTCTAACTGCTTTTGTTTTCCTATTATTTTCAAATTTTAAGATTATTTTCTAGGTTTTATGGTATACAATATTGCATACACTATTATTAACTCAGATAAAACTTATAAGATAAAATTGATATTCGTATCTTCTATGTCTCATAACGAAATTAGAAATTCTAATAAACATAGATCTGGAAATGTTTCCTAAATGAGACATAGACTCTCTTCGGGTAAGTATCAGGAAAATGTAGGAAACAATTGCGAACTTCTGTTTAAAACATTTTCTTATTTTTGGAGATATATTCTACAGAATAGTTGTGGTCAAGACGTAGCGGTTTTGTTTTTCGTTTTTTGTTTAGTGGTTGATTGTCATATTGACATTAGTACGTTTTCGAGTCCAATCTCAATTAAAAAAGGACCTACGAACTGCAGCTCCTACAAGCCTGTCAAATCACTTCACAGAAGTTGTTTATACCTGATTACATAAAAAAACAGTCCACAAATAAAAAGAGTATTTAAAAAACAAAGAAAATGGTAATAAAACAATACAAGTACAAGCAATAAATGGTTGTCAAATGTTAAAATAAAAAGTTTGTAAGAGGACAACAAAATAAACAAACAGTAAATGATACATGTTAAAATAAGATTATGAGTAATGCAAAAAGAAAACAACTGAAACAATGCAATTGAAGTGTGCGAAGCCTACGTCTAAAATAGTCATATTAGGGCGAGAGCACTTTTTAAAAATTCTTGCGTAGTATAAAATGCGTTGGTTAATAGAAAGTGTTTTATTTTTCTTTTAAATAAAGTAGAGTTGAGATGACGTACTGGAGCTGGTAATGCATTAAAAAACTGGATGCCCAGATATGATGTGCCATTACGTGTTTTACTTAAGCGATGAAAGTTTAAGTTTATGTCATTTTTGTTTCTAGTATTATGAGAATGGATTTGGCTACGGACAGTAAACGACTCTTCATTTTCTTTTACGTACCTACAAAAGACACTGGTGTATGTAAGTACATGGTAATGTTAAAATACCAAAGTTTCTTAAACTGTGCTCTGCAGTCATCTCTGAATTTTAAACCCGAGATTATGCGAATGGCTTTTCTTTGAGTAGCAAAAACGGTATCAGCTGAAGGTGAATGAACCCAAATCAGGATTGCATAGGATATTTGGGAGTGAATAAAGCTGTGATAAGCAGTAATTAACGTTTTTTGAGATACTTTGCTAATCAAGTTGCGGATTAAATAGGTACCCTTGGACATCTTATTGCAATTTCGGATCCAAATATATTTTTCCAGAAATTTTACTGCATCAGGATTATTTACATCGTCTATTTCACGCAAGATGAACATTAAATGTTCGGTCTTAGGTGCGTTTAGGCATAAGTTATTTGAAGTAAACCAATGTAATGCGTCATTCTCGATTATTGGAATGTACACCGTCAGATCATCCAAAATATTATTGCCTATGGATAAATTAGTGTCATCAGCAAAAAGAATTGTGAACACGTTGTTTCTCACAGATTTTGGGAAATCATTTTTATACAGTAGGAATAGTAGTGGTCCCAGAACAGAACCTTGAGGTACCCCGTAATTCAAATTGAATGTTTTTGATTTGTAGTTGTTATGAACCACGTATTGTTGTCTATGACAAAGATACGATTGAATAAGTGATATGCTTTCGCGAGTACAGCCGTAAAATTGCAATTTGTCAATAAGTGTATTATGTCAACAAACATCGAACACACATACTTACCCTCATCAAACCCACTGTTTATAAATCAACTTGTCTATTGCAAGTGTAATTGACATATTACTTCTGAAACCGAACTGATTAGGACTGAAGAGATTACTATTTTCTAGATATACAAGAAGTTGGTTTTTCAATATTATTTCGTAAATTTTTGCAGAACAAGGAATAATCGATATAGGTCTGTAATTTGATGGATCGTTGGTATCATTTTTTTTAAGATAGGTATAACTTTAGATATTTTGAGACGACAAGGGAAAATATTCTGGGACAGACATAAATCAAGTAACTGAGTAAGAGGAAATATTATAGTGTCTTTAATACTCTTCAATATTTTTACTGAAATATCGTAAGGATCGTAACTTTTTATGTCCTTCAGATGCGTTATGATTTCACCTACCTCGTGATATGAAACAAGGATGAAAGAAAATTTATTGTTGCGGCTGACGTCATCGATAAAACTTCTATAATGAGCTGTTGAAGGTGGCAATTTTGATATTATATTATTGGCAATCTTAGCAAAATAATTATTGAATTCGTCGCAAGTGATTTGCGTTGTTGTATTTCTAGGTACTTTTCTATGTTGGTTTATAATTTTCCACATAGCTAGTTGGTGATTTGAACGACTCTTTATAAAATTATCATTTGAAACTTGCTTAGACAAGTTAATATGGTAACGATAGTATAAATCTAGATTTCATTGGAAAAACTAAGTTTATTTTACTTGATATAATGTTAATGAAATTTAGGAAGAGCTGCTCAGTAGATGTATTAGAATAGTAATTGATGGGACAATACTGTATGATTGTTATTTTCTTTTTTCTTTGGGGGCAGGTCTGGAAAATCCTTTCCGAATACAACCCTCTGATCGACACGTACAGACTCCCACAGTGCAGATCTGGTGTAGTGGAATTCAAACCAACAGCTAATACCTAGATCGATCCAGTCCAATTCTAGAGTTATGATTCTGACGTCTCTATTACCCCAGCTCCTCTTACTCTGAGTAGTTATATTTCAGAATATAACTTTACCTAACATAATAGTCTTAGTGGTAAAGTTATGTTGACTTAAAGTTTTTACTTAATTACCTAATATTTATATTTTATACAGACTTAGAATTGATATATTATTTTTTGATTACACTACATCAAAGTTTTTTCAATATGTGCAAAATTATTGTATCCACAATGAAATAAATAAATGTAACTATCTACTACTTATCTATTTTTATGATGTGTCAAAATTGTAATATACCTAATATTTTATACTTACTCCGAGTAAAAGAATGAACTTTTTAAAATTTCAAGTACTGAAATATTTTTTTACAGATGCAACAGAAATATTATTTAATTTTGTTATATCTACGGGCTCCGTAATTCAGATTTTTCACATAATTAACAATTCTAATATATTTCTGTTTCATACAACCAAAAACTGGATTAATATTTTTCGTATATATAACAATTCTCTGTTTTATGTTATATTAAACGCACACTTCATATTCTTTACTCTCAAGTAAAACTGCATTATTATCTAAAAGGTTTATACTAGGTGAAAAACTATAACGTTAGAAATAACTCCAATATTTAAAACTAAAGATGTGGTTTTATGTAAAGAAACCTTTGTTAAATATTAATGTTATGAACATTCCTGTGGAAAATCTTTTATTTTATTGAACCAAACACACAATTATCTATAAAGTGTTTCCTTGGTGAGACACAGGGTGTTGAAAAGTAGACAAAAATTGTTTAACACATATTTTTAAAAATGTACGAATATTACACTACATACCCCTCATAACCTGAAGCCTTCAATGATTAAGAGTGTAATGCAAGTGCGGTGATCTGGGGAAACCCCGTTTTTATTAAATATTTCTACGCCACTAACTTAAGAAATGTAGGTTAATTTCTAAATTGCCTGTTCTCTTTAGAGCAAAAAGTGTAACTTCACTTTTTTCCGGACGATCCTTCGTTCTCTAGGTCCACTAAAAAATCGCTGTCCTTGTGCGATAAAAACAAACATTTTTCTTCATTTTTTTTTTCGATTTCTTCTACTGAGAGCATAAGATTCGGCAATACGTTTGCTATAAAAAGTTTAACGTTTTCACTGTAAATAACCAAAATTTTATTTCTCAAATTTTCACTTACTAAAAAATACTTGTTAGGACACTACTGTTATCGTAAACCAGGAACAGGCGTCCTTTTTGAGATACTTGGTCAACGCGATCTCCTTCGCTTATGACTTATCGGAGAGATTAATCAAATCTGCTTTCAAATTAATGTATTTTTGTGTATTTTGTTTTACAAATACCATTTCTTGTTAAAAATAATTTAAAAAGAATGTTGTATGTTTACATTTAATGTTCTATTATTTCTTTCTTCGGGTCTCTTTGTAACTGCAAAAGTACAAAATAAATGCACAAAGAAAGAAATAACTCTAAAAAACAATTCATTTTAATGAATTACCTAAGTCCAATTAAATGGGCCTTTAAACCGCAGTTTGGTCAACTTGCCCGAATTTTTTATACAAGATAGTTTGATGTATATAATAACAATAAGTGACAGTAATTTTTTTTCAACACTCTGCCAGGAGCGAAAAAAGATAAAATAAAGGGATTTTTCTAGATAACTCAAAAGGGGTAAAAGGTAGAAAAATTATAAAAGTTGCAGAGCATACAATTCTAGATAAATATGGTCTATTGACTTTTTGTTGTGCTATTAAAACTAACAAACTTAGGATGGCTAGAAGTTAAGAGATGATTTCAGAAATTTAAAAAAATCGTAACAAGTAGAAATATGAATGAATTTTATTTTTTTTTCAATCTACTCTAAAAATATATAAATTTTCATTTCAGAGAAATAGATATATTTTTTATTTTTAATAAAAAAGTTTTAGCAATATACAGTTATAGTTAATATAAATTTGAAGAAATAGCGATAAAACATGCGGCTGTCAGTGGAAATACAGCAGCAGTTTTCTACTTGTAAAAGTTTAAAACTTTTTGAACATATAATTACATAACATCCTGTATAACTATAAATATTTATTACAAACAAATATCAAAATTATAGAATATGGCATCTATTACTGAATAAATACAAAAAGTACTGAATATTCCCTAAATTGGCCAATAAATTAGATCTACTCTATTGTCTCCAACTATTCAAGCAAGGAAATTTTTTTATTACCTACAACTTGGACAATTTTTTTTTAAACTAAAGTAAATTTATTGAGTCATAAAAAATGATAAGTATAAAAGAGGGTACGAAACTAACAAAAATTCCTGTTTAGTTATACATCTTTATTTATTAACTAAAATATCGAAAACAAAAAACTTAAACGTACACATCAATAAATGTCAAATACCACTCATTACGTTATCGAGTAATCGCGATTCACTATCGCTCCAACATGCTTCGGAAACACGAGATGATACTTCCGGGGGTTGTAAAAAGCTAGAACAAAGCATTTACGATATTGGCGTAGCGACGTTGATGTCAGCAGTTATTTACTAAAGGCCTCCTGTACATCAAATGTCTCATTTTACAGCTTTCGTAATCCTAGATAGAAGACGGGAGCTGAAACATTTGCGGAAGATACAGGAAAACGGATTTACAGAAAGAGGATTTCTGAAATTTTCAGCGTTATCTTATATTAAAAGATGTCTTTGTCGTCTTTTGGTCAGATCAGAAGTAACAGAATACGAAACAGTTTATTGAAATAGTCGAAGCTCTATGACTATTACTAAAACTGTTACTTTATTTATTTTATGTTTAAAATTAACCTTATAATATAAGTACTTAATTAATTGCCGGGTACATACATACCGGGTGTTTCTGAAATAAGTGCGTTCCTTGAAAAGGGTGATAAAGGGCACGAAAATAAGTAACTTTTATTAAGCAACTGATGGTCTAAATCCTTCTGTTTTCGAGAAAATTAATTAAGAAAATTAACTGTAAATGTAAGCTGATCCTGTGCATCTTGTGCACGTGCAAGGACAGAATGCAGAAGGCTTATGTTGTGTAGCGTCAGTTTGTTTTTTAAGTTTTACTCGAAAATCAGGCTTTTTTCGAAGAACAAAAAAGAGTAGTAATTTTTAGAAAATCGAGACGAATCCGAAAATATAATGGTTGTTACCGTAAATCAGTGGCGTAGTATTTTATTTAGAAAAATGAGCCAACGATACCTAGATGTATCTCCGCCACTGGAGCAAGTAAATTTTAGGAAAAGCCCTCAGATTTTGGACAATGTTTACATAAATACATGTGCCCAATTTTAAATTATTTCACTTACTAGTTTTATTTAAAAAAATTAAAA